TTAAAATGTCCCCCCCCACCGCCCCCCCCGAACATCGGCCCTGCTGTTTTCTAGCTATAGTTAATAGTTGCCTGATTGTTGCCGCTTAGGACATAATAGCTTCCATAATGACATTTATTTTAAGGGGAAATTAAATTGCGTTCAGCGTAGCTCAGAAAGATGACAGCTTGTCAAAAACGGGGGTCTAGCTCATACGAAATAATTCATGTCTGTTGTTGTTTTCCGCTGGCCGTCCGGCGGAAGCCACAGGTAGTTATTTCTTATCAAATGTTGTTTAATGTGTTTGGCATTTATTACAGAGTTGTGACTTGCTTTGAGCAGACCACACAAAAACTGACTCAACCACAATATTACATGCAGTCAGGCTCACAGATGCTGCTTTCTAGTGTCGTGGTTTACCACATGCTTCTGATGTCTCCTTCAACATATGACTCCATCATATTACTGCATACTAATTTTTTTAGAGACATCTCGCTGCATTATAGAGTTTTTGTATGCATGTCAAACGTCAAAAATACAGCAAGACATTTTTGACAGCAATGTGATCTTGGTGTGTGATATATTTTACCCTGGTTTTTATTTTGTCCAAGTGTATTCCTTGTATAACTTTTAGAGCTTCATGGCAGCTCTTAAAGTGAAACAGGTAAATTCATTACTATGATCTTTTTCAGTCTTGTTTTGGCTTCATCTAAAGATAAAAATAATCATGAACCTGAGGTTTCTATAGCAACCTTAACACAGGCTTCTGGCACCATGTGAACCTATATTTGTACTGACGACCGTGTCTATTTTTAACATGGAAGATATCCTCAGACGTGTTGTTGAACACTGATTCTTCATGAATGTGTGTTATTTATCACGTCTTTATAATACTCTCTCGGCATAGTTTATGCATTATAATGATGTCCCTTTTACAATTGAATGTGTAATCTGCTCCGTTCGGACCCTATTTGTGTTCTTCATTAAGAGTGATGTGAGCTGTCAGTATCTCACCTTTTCTCAGACCCCCGCTGCTACATCCTCCCCGCCATGCGCACACACTGAGCGCGGTTCATTAGAGGCAGCCTGGTGATCTTTGTTATCCGTTCAGTCTGCTGCTGCTGGCCTGCCCACACTCACTTTAATTGAGAATTTGCAAATGTGGCCGTTGTGTTTGGGCTGCTCCGTCCACAGTTGTTGACCCAGGAGCACGATGGGCTGTCAGAGCCGAGCGATGTGAGCAGAGACGGCACGTTGGAGGTGAACTTTTAAATTCAGTCCAGCAAATAAGGATTATGTGAGTAGGTTGTTGCTCCGGAAACTGTCCAAGATGAGCATAACCTGGCATTAAAATGAATAAAGACTGCAGGGATTTATATTTAAATGTATGTATTTTCATTTGTTTTGCTTATTTCGCTGTTCAACACCATCTCCTTCATAGTATCGGACTTCATGTTTCTCATTCAAATTCACATTGTTTTTAACAGTAGCTGCAGTCACTAATGGTCTTGACCCTTCAGTGACACTGTGCTGACGCTCTCTTTTATTAATTAATTCAGGATAGCAAACTCAATTTTAAAATTACATTAAATGATAACCCCTAGTGAACACATATTTACATTAATGAATCATGCACATTCAATACATTTAAAGGAAGACTAACTGATAATGCAGCTCCATTGTATCGGAGCATTAATTTTTGGAGGCCAGGTTGCGTGTTACAAATCAAAACTGATCAAATTAAATGTATTTCTGATGGCTCATACAACATGAGCAAACGCTCTAACACATTGTACGTCATAGGCTAAGGGGGGGGAACATCTCAAAGTGGTTGACCAATCCCAACAGAGCTGGCCAGCTAACCAATCAGAGCAGACTAACTCTGGTTTCAGACAGAGGGTGAAAAGAGGTGCTGCAGCACAGGCAGTATGAGAAAAATAAAGACATTTTTGAACATTGAAGGATGGAGACATGTCACAGTAGAGGCACAAACTACAGATATGAAACCTGAACATTTGCATAATAGGCCCCTTCTAAATAACTCGGGGACATACTATACATTTAATCCCTGAGGATTTAACAATATAACAATATGAAATACTCAACATATACTGTGGTCAGGAGTGATTTTCCTTTAGCTCAGCAATGCTTCAGCTATAGCATACTGCATACATACTGTACATCCGAGACGACCCAAGTTGAGAATAATTTCACACAAGGCTTCTGTTCTGTCTGCCAGTAGTTCTAGCTTGAAAACTGCTGTTTCTTCCACAAGTTATCGAATGGAGAGGTTTTGATCATATCTCAACATTAGATTATTTTCACCTGTGATGTTTCGTTGCTTAATCAAAGGTTTAATTAGAGTAAAACAAACAGTCTTGTGTTCAGTATAGAGAGTGAGATTCTCTGTTATGATAGCAGTGGCAGGCTGATATTATACACTGACAACCGTGATGAATCGGATTAAAATCTGCCTGTTTTATTAGAAAGCATCCAGACGTCACATTGTCTTTCACGCTGCAAACAACAGTGATGTCTGCACTATTAATTACTATGTGTGTGTGGTGCCTTATTATATTGAAGTGATGAGTTGCTTACACATTTTCTGGCAGATATAAGAAGTTCAGTGATCATGATGTATTTTCATTTTTTATGTACTCTTTTGGATAGCAAGACAACTATTTCTGAAAATAAATGATAATAAAATGACAGTAAAAATAAGGACCTGTTTCCTAGCAACATCAAATCAGTTTGTTATTCTGGTGGCATGTGTGTGTGCATGTGTGTGAGGCAGAGGGGGAGAAAAAAGGTTGAAAGATATCAGCTTCTTTTTAAAAAAATGTATCAACTCAGGATTGACTCACTGAAATTGCATCATTTGGGCATTCATTCTGCTCATGAAAAACATGTAGTTCCAAAGCTTGAAACTGAAAATCCCAGACTGTCTGGACAAATCCTCGCGCTGACTGACAGAAGACAGGACAGATTTCTGGATAACAGGGATCCTTGGAGAATTGACGGGGGATGCAGAGAGAATTGAGTGTCTCACAACAAAAGTATTACAATCAAATGAAGCTTATGTGCAAATGAAAACTGCAAGCTCCAAAAAAACAAAGCCTCCCGTCTCTTGTCGGCGGAACAGGCTGTGTTTGGGCAGTCGTTCACAGATTGGAGACTCAGCTTGAGGCTTTGAGCTTTCAGAGACTGACTGAGGGGATCAGATCAGAATAACAACTCCGTTTTTGAGAGGCTGAAAAATAAATGTCTGTCTTTTGTTAGCAAAATGATTTTAATTCTCACAAAGGTTAGACTTGATCCTTTTGTAGAAATTCAGGGACTGCAGAGTAGAGCTCCAGTATTTACATATTAACTGATCAACAAAATATATATCAGCAATTATCAAATAGTTGCTGAAAAGCACAATTAGTAAGATGTTTTATTTATTTTTTAAAACACATTTAAAGTTGGCCCCTCCTCTGGAGCTAAAGATGGGTTACTTACTCGTTGGTGGGTGAAGGCCAACCACAGATTTACTCTTGTTTTGCGAACAAGCTTGTCCGCACTCTTCCTAACATTTTCGTAGCTTCCTTTTTGATGACTGCTTAGCTACTGTTTTGGCACCTTATCGCTATTTCTGGGGCCAGATAGTGCCTTTATTGGAGAAACAGTTTTGAAAGGTCGGAGATAGAGGGGATGAAATTGCCTGAATGTCTTGGTGGGCTAGGATCTTCTAAAATATGAAAGTTTTCTTAGTTTAGTATGATGTTATCTTTTTTAATGTAGGCCTATGTCCTATAGTGCATGTGAAATGGTCAGCAAAGACTAACATCCCAATGTTCCTTCCAGATTGAGTTTCTCTCCTTTGGACTCCTTTGGTGACTTCTGCAACATAAAGACATCACTATGTAAAACTTAAGCAATAGCTCACGACAGGCCGTGTTATATGCTCATTATATCACAGCTAAGGGGCGTGGTTCTGCCCGACGCGAAGCGGAGCCGGAACCAGGCCCTTAGCTGTGATATACTGTAATGAGCATATATCACGGCCTGAAATGAGCTATTGTTTTTATAAAACGGTTACCAAGTGTGGCAATATGAAAGAAAAATACACACTCTAATTTAAATAGTTTTTATTAGTAAATAATGATGTTCAAAATAAAATAGTCCCTCCGTTGCCTTCTGCACAAAACATAATGCGAGATGGTTGCTATGCAACAACACTAACAGCTGGCGAACATATTAGACAGAGAGCGTTGATCCATTATTTGGCTGTTTATTTACATTAATGTGTATGTTGCCGTTTATTGTGCATCCACTGAAAACCTGTCCAGCATCAGTAGCATGGCTTACGTGGTTACTTGTATAGGTTGAGGTTGTTCTAGGCTGTTGCTTGGCGTGACGAGAATATATTGCTCCACTTTCTCCGGTCCCCGAGATTGGGTTTCCAGTAGCTCTGGAGAGAGCTTTCGCACCTGTGGCCACTAACGGTCATAATTTCTCTGCTTTTGAATGGTGGTACTTTTCCAGTCGGTCTACCTGCTCTTCACGTAGCTCTGCATGTCGTTGTTTGGGTGCTTTTTTTTCTGGAGATAGGCACTCCTCAATCCACTCCTCCATACTATAGTAAGACCCCCCCGGAGGTCGAAGTTAATCTTAAATGTTTCCATTTTATGCTTTGTAAGTTTGTTTCGTAACGGAAGAAATTTAAATATATTTATAAAACTGACAAGTGAAATCAAGCAATCTGATTGGTCAATAGTGTTTTTGCGGACCTCTTTGATTACAGATTTGAAAACATCGTTGCTTGCTTTAAAAGTAGCACAATT